ATATTCATGCATTTGTACTAATCATGTCATGTAGTTTTTTTATTTCTTTTTAGAAGGCTAAGGTGTAAGTTTCCTATAGTACTTAAGGTCATATAAAATTAGGATTAAGGCACAAATTTTAACACGTGAGATCTTTTTGAAGTATTTTTCTTCTATTAATAGAAATCTCAATGCTCTCCCTCTCTAAAAATGTTCTTACTCCACCATTCTTATTCTTCTTCTTCTTCGCTTATCTTCTCTTTATTATCTATTCTATGAGACCTTGCAATTTTCACTAGTAGGTTCTAGCATCACTGTGGAAAAATCAAATTCAAAGTGTTATTATAAGCAGTGTAGCAAACAAAAAAGAATCTATAAAATGGAGAACCAAAAGTTAATTGATGACAAATAGGCAACTTGTAAAATAGAGGATTAGAGGACAAGAATGAACTAGGGAGCTTCAAATGTTTCTACTAGTGCCATTCTAATGGCAGAGATTCCAAAAGTATCTTCATATTCTAAATTTTGGATGCAAACATCAAGTATCATAGTGTTGACCTATATAGTAACAATAGATAAAATCTACTATCATAATAGTGATGAAGAAAGCCCTCCTCCACCTGATCAAATTGAGAGAGAAAAGCCACAAAAAGCAAATACGTTCTATAAGGAGATCATAGATGCAAATCTTCTAACATAGTTCAAGATCTCTTATCCAAAATCGTATAAATGAAGGATGAACCCTAATGAACTAATAAGTTATTTAAAATTAGTGATGCCCTAAAGTGCTATCTAATTTTCATCACCTTCAAGGAATCACCTCTTCAATGGTTCTTGTGCCTCCCACTAGGATTAATCACTTCTTTCAATATGTTCATAAGAATGTTCATTACCTAGTTATTTAGTACCTAGAAACCTCTCAAAGAACCCAAATGATTTTCTAAAGACGAGACTATAGCTGTCGAGTCATTGAAAAACTTTATCCAAGGATTGTAGTTTCCTTCTAGAAGGACCATTAAGGTTGTCTTGTTTTAGAGAGAGATGTTGGAAGTTAAATATCTATGGTCTATGGTCACCCAAGCTACCCTAACCTAAAGTTTACAAGGACTTTTTTAGGTATGCTCTTCAACGATATTTGAAGAGTTGCTAGAAAACATTAATAGCCACATCAATGCTTAGGAGTATAATAAAGGCTAAACTCTCATCCTTAAGTCACCTAAAAGATTCCTTAGCAAAGCAAGACTTCCATTTGTTTCCTAGTAATGATAGAAGCTATTGGCAAGTCTAAATGGATAGAGAGAAGGCTGCATTTCCAATAGAGTTTCCCATATCACCATTAGAGGATATGGCTATATGACAAATCATTGAGGATTTAGGCCCACCAAATGTCCAAGGTTGGGAGATGTCACTTCTACTTGACAATGTCATAAAGATAGAATCTCTTCTCCCCACAACTTTCCAACTGCATCCCACTGAAAGTCTTAATGGCTAAGCTTGTGAAAATTATATAAAAATGAGTGCTTTAAATGAATCACACCTATGATAATAGAGGACCATGTGAGGGACACCTCTAGTTATCATGCACTCAATAAAGACTACATAAATTATATGGAGGGTTATCAACATCTATGAAACTTGGTGGAGGAATTTATTAAGCCAAGGAAATGTAAGGAGTTCATTCTAGTAAATCTTAGGAGAAGATAAGTGAAGGTGCCCATGGAAGGGTAGGTGATTGAGCCAATTTTAGCCAAACCAATCCATGTTACTAGCAAGGTACTGGCCGTCCTAGGAGAAAAAAGAGTAGAATCATCATGCAATTATACACGTAGCCCTTTATACTAATGTCATATTGATCATCTTCACCAAAGTAGAAAAGTTGACAAGTAAGAACCATTATAATGATGTAATAGTTTTTACAACCATTATCACCAACTGCAAAATATGGATTATTTTTATTTATATTGTGGGTTAAATTATCATCATTTTAAGAGGTATTTTTTAGAAGATGGACTTGAGTACTTCTTGCCTACTCACAATTATAGGCCCACTCTTTGGATTATCTATAGAGTGAAGAGTGATAGATAGCAGGATTGCCCCACTTATCACATGATAGGAAGGAGAGCATCAATACTCCATCATGGTTAATTTAATTATAAAAAATCTATTAGTAACAAGCATCATAACTTTTTGACTGTTATTCCTAAACACCTTTACGGCCATAGTCTCCACTTATCATATTGTGGTCAAATTTTTAGCAAGAGAACAAATGATCACAATAAAGAAAACATGATGCAATTGAAGGCCTATAATATAAATGCTACTAAGAGCATATAAGAAGTATTGTAAATAAACTCAAGAGGGGAGTCAAGTAATGGAGTACTAAAGCAGTAAGGGAGATCCCAGCCATCGAAGCAGCTCCGGAATGTACTCTATGGATCATCATTTATTTCAACTTTGAGAATTAAGTATAAGTAATCTAAGCTCTTTAGGAGGATGTTGAAGTATTTTCCTACACAACCATGAAAATGCCAAGTAGGATATCAATGTCGTCTATCAATGGTTGAATTTGGAGAATATATGCAAGGTCCATCTAGTAGAAGATCAAAAAATTTTCCACCATATTAACCAAATGAATCTATATGGGATTCACCATGTTAAATTTGGCCATTCCAAATAATGGACACCCTTTTCCCATAATTAACATGTTAGCGACTCAACAATCGGGTTCCCAATAATGAATTTTCTTGATGTCTTTTCTAGCTATTACATAATTAAATGCTCCCAACTAACTATGAGAAAATATCTTTCATTATTGGGGAATGCTATTTTTTTATAGAATGATGCCCTTCATCTTAAAAATATTAATGCAACATGTCAACAAAAATAGATCACGTGTAAGTATTAAAAGGGAAGGATTATAGAAATGTATGCCGATGACCTACTAGTAATTAGCATGATCCTAAAGTAGTGCTTCCAGGAATTGAAGGAGAAATTTGCAACGCAAAATAAATATAATATGTACCATAATCCTTAGAGGTGCACCTTTGGAAACCGCACACCCTCGCCTACCATAACCATTAGCGTAAAAGTATATTGACGTGATATAATATGTACCATAAGCATTGGAGTAATAGTATATTGCTTACGGTTGCCACCAACCTCATCCATCCATCTCGTATTTTATATATCGCAACTAAGATGAGTCATTGAAAACTACACACCCTCACCCACACTACTAGCCACACTATAAGAGGATATAGACGTGATATTAGAATCATTAGAGGTGAAAGGATCGAGTGTGATAAGGAGACAAGGGGATCAACGAGGTGTTGATCAAGTGGAAGGATTTACGAGAGTATGATGTGCATGGGAGACCTATAGTACCACTCAGAAGTTGTTTCCTTCTTCCCACATTGAGGACAATGTGACTTTTTGGGAGGGGAGGATTGATGGACCAACAGCTAAGTTAGTGGGCACTTCTAGGGTTGGCAACGAACAAAAAGAGAGGGGAGATCAAAGGGGAATAATTCCAACTTTAATTACTTACCATAGAAAATCAAAATTAAGAGGGAATTAAGAAAGATTTTTTTAGGGAAAGAGAGGTGATTTGAATTCAAATTTGGGAGAAAATTAGGAAATGTTTATTTTGGGAAAGAGGGCTAATTTGAATTTAGATTTGGGAGGAAAATATGAAGGCTTATATTATATATAGTTAATTTGTTTGTTTTATTTTTATTATTTGAATTATGTTTTGCTATAGATTTCTTTGGAGTAGTTCCTAGAGGTGCCTAGGGTTTGTTGAGAGTTGATCTACCTCTCAAATAGTAGATCAGCTTGTATCTTAGTTTGTTTTGTCAAAATAAAAATCTTTGTCACTAATTTCTGCTATGTTTTCTCTTCGTTATTGTTGTTTTTGCTGTGAAGAGATCAGATTCCTATCAGGCAGCAATCCACTTGTACTTATTAGTGTATAGACCATTATGTCTTGGTGTTTAAAACTGTTTATTCATGTACTTTTTAATTTATTTTTATAAGGTCAAGGTATGGCTTCCCATATATCGCTTAAAACATAAAAAATATAGGAATAAGGGACAAATTTTCACATGTGAGATCTTTGTTGAACATTTGGTTCCATCAATTGAAATCTCAAAGCTTATCTCTCTACATCTGTCTTCTTCTTCTTCGATCTTCTCTTTGTTCTCCGTTATATGGGACATTAAAAGCCTTGCAAATAGAGTTCTAACATCACCACATACAAATTTAGGTCCTACAACAACATTACTTTATCAAGACGATACATCGAACTCCTAGAAATAAACTTGGTGTGATTGTTTTATTCTTTCATTCTCCTTCTCTCTCTTCTTCTCTCACTTCTCCAAATCCATTTAAAAAAACATTGATACATGATGCACAACCTATGCTAAACTAATTTAAAGTAAATGTGATTTGTATCTATTCAATTTACATCATACATATTTGTGTAGAAAATGAACAATGAATAATTTATCAATCTTCCTTAAAATACTCAAAAAAAAAAAAAAAGAAGAAAGATTTGCATGCAAGAATTTCACTTCAAGCTTTCACCCAACCATGAATTGCCCCACATTGCTTTCTTTTTTCCAACTGCATTAATTGTTCCCTTTCCCCTACATCTCTCTGCAAATTGTTCTAATATGTTCACAAAAGCTTTATGAGAACAAATTTCGATAAATTTTCATTTCTTCCATTATTCAATTCACCATCAAACTAGTTTGCACACGTCTCTTGCGATCCACTAAACCAGCTAGCAGACAAATAAATGCTACTAAATATTCACAGAACATCACTATCTTCACTATAATAAATTTCAAATCCTGTTGTTGAGGCATTCAAATGGCAGCAAAAATTTAATAGAAAAGGTTGCTCTAATTAGAATATTTGTCCTTCTTCTTGTCTCAACAACATCCCCTGAAACTTCAATTCATTTATATATTATTTAGTCTTCTTTTCCTTCAAATATTCATACCTCAGCACCTTCAGCCATGTCAAATACTTCAGAGGAAGAAGAATCAAAGTACCTTGTGACTGGCATGGCAGTAATGAGTGGGAACAATAGCGCCATCGCTTCAGCTACAAAGAAGAGAAGGAACCCACCAGGAAATCCAGGTTGAAGATGTTCAATTTAATATTGTTTTTAATTGATCTTTTTTTTATGATTGAATCTAAGTTATGTAGGCAGTTAATGACATGAATTTGTTGGAAATTATATCATTTATGCATTTGCAAACATTCTCTTCTTCTTACTTTTTGTAGGATTTTGATGCGAAGTTCTAAATATAGGATCTTTGAAGTAGATTCAATCATTAAAAAAGAGAATTTAATCGAGTATCGAGGAGCTAAAGAATACAAAAGAGTAAATTGATTTGTTTTCGTTCTCCACAAATTGCATATTTTATCTGAATTTTCGCTCATACTTCGTCCGAATAATAGTATCAATTGAGCAGATGCACAACTTGTTTGAAATATACATACAAGAAGTTGAGCAGGTGAATTAGGTCGAGTAATTTTTGCTACTTTGATTTTATAGAAATTTTGAGACCAACATACAAAGCTAGACATAGTTTTCCTCTTAATAAGTAAGCTAGTTTGTACTTTGCAGCTCAATTGAGTTCACCTGCTTACTATGCAACCTCATCACTTTCTTATTGCTTCTTAAAACTGTTTTTTAGTTCAAAAATTAAAAATTTTGTACTAGAAAGTTGTTTTAAGAAGCAATAAAAAAGCCGTTTCAAACGAAACTTTAGTCAATATCCTGCCAATAGTTTCATGAATTTATGATGTTAAGATTGGTTCTTGTGATGATCTACAGATCCAGATGCTGAAGTTATAGCCCTTTCTCCAAGAACTCTTATTGCTACTAACCGTTACATATGTGAAGTGTGCCATAAAGGCTTTCAGAGAGATCAGAACCTTCAGCTCCATAGGAGAGGCCATAACCTGCCATGGAAACTGAAGCAGAGAAGCAGCAATGAGGTGAAGAAGAAGGTTTATGTCTGCCCAGAGATCGCCTGTGCTCATCATGACCCAACTCGGGCTCTGGGAGACTTGACTGGAATCAAGAAGCACTTTTCAAGGAAGCATGGAGACAAGAAATGGAAATGTGATAAATGTTCAAAGCGTTATGCTGTGCAGTCGGACTGGAAGGCCCATTCAAAGATCTGTGGAACAAAGGAGTATCGCTGTGATTGTGGAACCATCTTCTCCAGGTAGAATCTGATAACTTTAAAGCTTCATTTGGGATGACTTTCTTAATGCTTCTTAAAACAGTTTTCTAATAAGTAATAAAAAAGTTGATCCAAACAAAGCATAAGCCTTTGAATGACATGGCTTTCTTACTGTTTCTTAATGCTGATTTTTTATGCATCATATAAAATTTATTGTTTGTTATCTTCAAAAGATAGTAAATGTTTTGAAAATTATTGTTGATATAATAGATTTTTTTAAAATAATTCAATAACAGCTCTTTAACGGCTACTACATTATCAAATCTAGCTATAAAATGTAGCCATATGACAGATTTCTCAAAAATAAATTAATGAAAAAGCTACCAAATCACTAGCAGCTTCCTTGCATTTGAAAGTGTTTTGTTTTCAGAATATTTTTGAGGATTTTGAGTGACAATTAAATGCAAAGCCTCGAACCACCTCTTGATTAGAACTCTAAGCTCTCAACCAGCAAATTAGGTTTTGTTTGGGACGACTTTCTTACTTCTTCTTAAAGCAACTTTTTAGCACAAAAAATTAATTTTTTGTACTAAAAAGCTGCTTTAAGAAGCAGTAAGACAGCGTCCCAAACAAAACCTAGAATGCATTTTCTTACAAAATATTTATTGTGAATCATGTTTAACTAAACACACAATACTAACAATAGTATGTAAACGTTCTACAGAAAGGATAGTTTCGTTACTCACCGAGCCTTCTGCGATGCTCTGACTGAAGAGAACTACAGAACTAACCATGGCCTTGCAACCATGGCTGGGAACTTGTACAGCCAATCACACAACATATTCTCTCGCACAATGCAATGTCAAGGCTCCTCAATCAATGCGAACACAACCAACATATCTGGTTCTGATCAGAACTCGAACAACGCATTGAAATCTCTCTCACATAATCATTCTGTACTAGCAAACTCTGACATTCTTTTCAACGATGGAAATTTAGGAATCTCTAATGTACAGTTCTCTGGAGGCTCTAGGAGCCTAAGTATGTCAATGGGGTCCTCATTTATGTCTGCAACTGCGTTACTTCAGAACACAACAGATATGGGAACTAAGGCCGGTGATGAATCTATCTCTCCAATGATTCTAAGAGGTTTTACAGGCTTCCCAAGTAACACAAGGCCAAGTGGATCTCTGCAAGATACCATAAACAGATATAACAGTAACAATGCTCTATTATGCCTGGATACAGCAGAAGTGAGCTCATATGAGGGAATTCAGAGCTCTCTTCAAATGAGCTCAAAAGCCAGTGGTGGTAATGCTTCTGGCTTTAGAGAAGCAAGTTTTGTTCAATTTCCAGTTGCTGGAGAGAGAAAGATCAGTTCAGTACACAGAAGAGATGCAGGTGAAGAGACTGGAGATAGGAGGAAGGGAAGGATGACCAAGGATTTCTTAGGCTTGGGAGCTTCTGGCAGTGCGAGTGTTAGCAGTTCTGGAAACACAAACTACTTTGATAACGAGTTCTATCCTTATCAACAAATGTCATTTGAAAAGCACACATGGCAGTAAACTGAGATCTTCTCAGCTGAAATTGATAATTTTTTTTTTCTTTTTGAGTTGCAGATGTAAGGAAGCTGAAACCTACCAGAGTTTTCTAGTTTTCTGTAGGCAAGTTATTATGTCCTCTTTATGTACTTACATGGATTTCTCTATATACTTTCAGAGTCTTTTTGTTGCAGAAGCTATTGGCCATTGTTGATCGAGATGGAAGAGACAAAAAAGCCTCATTGGATTATGTTAACTAACATGACATCGAAATCAGTTCTTACTTGGTTTGCAGAAGAAATCAAAAACTATTTCGCGATTGAGGAAAATAAATCAGATTTAAGTAGTTTAGTGTTCGTTTAGAATAGTTTTTTTATTGCTTTCTAAAACAGTTTTTCATTATAAAAATATTTTTGAATTAGAAAATTTCTATATAAAATCATTTTAGAAAATAGTAAGAAAGTTATCTGAAATGGAAGATAAGTCAAGATATTATATGCCCATTGTTGGGGAGAGAGAACTATTACTAAGAGAAAGAAAAAAAATAACTAGTTCAATAAAATTGAAGCAATTTTTCTAAGCTAATTTTGTATTATTGTCTCCATAGTTTCACTTACAAGTTTGCTTGTTCTGTAGTCAGCATAATGTCAAAAAATATTATTTTATCAATAATAGCACAATAATAGATTATTTATAGTGACACTCAACTTTTTGTATAAATATCATTAAATGCCAAGAAAAACAAAATTTTATTAAAACATTATAAAAAATTACTTGAATATAAAATTAATTCAATATAATTAGGAATATTATTTATCTTTAATTACTTCTTTGAAAATCTTGCAAAAGTTGTCTTCTTGCTCACTAATTACTTTAAAGAGATTTGACATTGAAAGAAATTTTGAGAGAGAGATTTTTGAGAAATTTTTTTAATAGAAGCACCCTTTAGAATTGGAAGGATATTTGTAGAGAATCTTTAATTTAATATAAGAAATAGAGAATTTGGAAAATTTAAAAAATAATTTTTACTAATTTTAGAAATTTTAAACGGTTTACAAAATAGTTACTGTGGAAAACAAACCTAAAAAGGAATGTTAGCAAACGAAGACAGTGAAGTAGTGAGGAAGAAGACTTTAAGCTTTTTCTCCTTGTATTCATTTCTTTAGCTACAGTACATATATATTGAAAAGAATAATCAAAAACTATTATGAGAGAAAGTGTTTTCTACCACACTCTATTGTGGACCATGTGGGAATTCTGCTACTGCAACTAGTGGGCACACATTGGTGGTATGATGACTTACCAAACCATGTTAACAGCCCCCCTCAAGCTGATGGTGTAGGAGAGACCAGAAACTTGGTTCCAAGATTGGTAGAGCGAAGGTGAGGAAGAGCCTTAGTAAATATATTAGCAATTTGATCTTGGGAATCGATGTGTTGTATAGTAATTGTAGCCGACTTAATGCAATCACATACAAAATGATAATCCACCTCTATATGCTTAGTGCGAGCATGAAACATGGGATTGTGAGCAAGGGCGATGGCTGATATGTTATCACAATAAGAGATATAGGTGTTGAAATGTTGAACTAAAAATCAGCCAACAGTCGACGAATCCAAATGATGTTAGTGGCGGCAGTTGCCAATACACGATATTCGTCTTCTGTGGAGGATCGAGCAACCGTAGGTTACTTCTTGACGCACCAAGAAATAAGTGTATCACCAAGAAATAAACAATATCCTGTTGTGGATTTTCTAAGGGATCGTCGGCCCAGTCTGAATCGACATAAGCATGCAAAGTGGAGCAGTGGTCATTGATTGGTAAACCAAAATCTATTGTGCATTTAATGCACCTAAACAGAAGCTTGAGTGCTTGAAAATGGTGTTGCAAAGGACAATGCATGGATTGGCACAACTTGTTAATAGCATAAGCAATATCTGATCATGTGATAGTTAAATATTCTAAAGAGCCAACTAGATGCTGAAAGAATTTTGGATTCTCAAATACAGTTAACAAAGTAGCATCAGAAACTTGTTTTAATGGGAGAGGAGTAATTAGCGGATTGCAATTGTCCATGCCGGCTCTATGGAGTATATCCAATGCATATTTAGATTGATGAAGATGATAGCCCGTGGTTGTTGAAACAGCTTGTATACCAAGAAAGTATTTTAGAGTACCCAAGTTGCGAAGCTAAAAATGTTGATGAAGGTTGAGAAGCAGATCCGTAATTATTTTGGAATTATTGCCGGTGACTAAAATGTCATCAACATATACTAAAAAATATATGAGATGAGAATTATGATTGTAGACTAGGAGAGAGGGATCTGCATCACTATGTCGAAAACCCCAAGTTTGCAAATGCGTAGATAATTTGGCAAACCATTGACGCGGAGATTGTTTAAGTCCATAAAGTGCTTTATGTAAGCGACAAACGTAGTCTGGATGCTGAGAATCTTTGAAGCCCGGGGGTTGATACATGTAAACCACTTCATCTAAAACTCCATGGAGAAAAGCATTGAAAAATTTAATTGAATAATGGACCAATGCCTTCTAACCGCGGCTGTGATAAAAAGACGAATGGTAGGTAGCTTTGCAACTGGACTGAAAGTTTCAGTATAATCAATATCATACTCTTGGCATCAGCCTTGTGCAACAAGGCAAGCTTTATAACGAGCTATTGAACCGTTTGACTTTCTTTTAGTTTTGTTAATCCATTTACAACCAAGCACTGTTTGAGAGAATGGCAGTGTAACTAAATCCCATGTCTCTTGTTGTTGTAGTGCCTGAAACTCTGCGAACATAGCATCCCGCCAACATTTATGTTTACTGGCCACCGAAAAACATGTTGGATTGGGTTCTTCAACAAGCATATGTTGAAGAGTGAAGATAGTTTTTGGCTTGAGCTTTCCAGTTTGCAATCTAGTCACCATTTAATGTCGGGTAGGAATCGTTGATTGAATTGGAGATGATGGAATTGATACATCTGTAGTATGATGGGAAGAATAAGACTTGGGTGAGTGAGTTGGGATAGGTGAAAATGATGAAGTAATAGGAGATGGTGGAAGTATTTGTGAAGAAGTAGTGGGTTGTTGAGATGTGGTATACGGGACTAGATTCAAGGGGAAATAATGGAATTTTGATTTGTGGTGGTAGATTGAGGTGTGGTGGAGGTGGAAGATATAAATGGGAATATGTGTTCATGGAATTGAACATGACGAGAGATGAAGATTTTATGATTTTTCAAGTGATAGCAACGATATCCTTTGTGGGTAGAACTATATCCAATGAAGACACAAGAAGAAGATTTTGGGGCAAATTATGAGGAGCTGTTAGTTGAAGCCATGGATAACACAAGAAACCAAACACTTTAAGATGAGAATATGATGGGGGATGATGATAAAGACGTTGGAAGGGAGAGATAGACTTTGTAGTAAGAGAGGGGAGATGGTTTATTAAGTATACTACAGTTAATACAGATTCAACCCAAAAAATTATTGGTAAATGAGCCTGGATTAAAAGAGTACACGTCGTCTCAATGATGTGACAATGTTTGCGCTCCACTAGGCCATTTTGCTGTGGAGTATGAGGACAACTAAATTGATGCAAAATATCATTTGTAGAGAGAAAATGTTAAAATTGAGAGCTACTATATTCTCCACCTCCATCAGATCGAAAGATTTTAATATTGGTGGAGAATTATTTTTCAACCATGGCTTTGAATAGAACAAACTTAGAAAATACTTTAGCTTTAGTAACCATCGAATATATCCATGAAAAATGAGAAAACTCATCCAGAAATAAGACGTAACAGCGATATCCATTAAATGATAAAATTGGGGAAGGTCCCCATACATCAGAGACGACTACTTGAAAGGAGAAGTACATATAGATTTAGAACTAACAAAAGGTAACCTATGACTTTTTTTTCTATTTGACATGGATGACACACAGTGCTAGATACAAAAATATTTAACGATGGAAAACTCTAAGTTATATTAGATAAGACGGCTTGATGTGGATGTCCCAGCCTAGCATGCCACGGAGAAGAACTGATAGTGGTAAAGAGAGCTTGTGAAGATGATCTGGACTGAATTGCAACGGAATAAAGCCCATCATGGCAGGGACCTGATAGAATCGAGCTATTGGTTCTCCGATCCTTTATATTATAACCATGAGGTGTGAAAGAAATAGTACAATCATTATCAGATGTTAGACGGTGAACGGAAAGTAGATTGTGAGAAACTTTAGGAACGTGAAGAAGAGGTGAAAGAGAGAGCTGACGTTTAGGTGTAGGAAAGATTCCTTGACCCGTATGAGATTTAAGAAGTGAATGTTTGTTGCCAACTTGGATTTGCTGGAAGCCATAATACGGTTGGGACATTAACGATTGATTTGGATCATTTGTAATGTGAGAGGTGTTGGAGAATTTTTATATCCTCAAACGGATTGCATATTTTATGATCGAGCATGGCATAAGAACATGATATATTATTGTTTGATTGAAAAATATAAGTTGTTTTGAAAAAGTATTAATTTTCTTTGGGAATATTAACTTTTAAATTTTGAAATTGAACACGTCATTATGAACAATATATCGCCTCGAAAGACGATCATATCATTCCCTAATAGGTTCAAATTGGGCAAGCCCCTATGGTTAATTACATCCCAAGTTTTGGCTTGGGAAGACTTTTGATTAAACTAGTGGTTTTGCTTTCTTTTTTTTTGAAGTCATTTAAACATTGGCTAAGATTTGAGTTTTGTTTTAAAATCCGTGAAAGTCTTGCTTAAAGGGTTTTGGCCCTTTAGAATTTTAAGGAAGAGGTTGATCAACTAAAGATTAGATTTTGGTAATGAAAGCCAAAGGAGATGAAGTAAGGGCACTTGATTCTGAGATGAAACTCAAAGGTGCCCAAACTATCCTATGTTGGGCTTTACATTTTTGGAATCTAATTTTGGTTTAAGTTGACATTTTTATTAGAATGTTAGGGCTTACATTCCAACAACGCTTGTTGGAGGAATTGTCCGAAGGATGAGGACATATAGGGTGATTTGGAATCAACCCATACCTTGGACCCTAAGACTAAGGTGAGGACTACCGACAGGTAGTGCCTCGAACCTAGATCTAACGAGTGCAAAGAGGGACTTACAAGCTACACCTCACAAGTGGCATAACCCGCCCAACCTCTGGATTTATTATCCCGCCTGGAAGGGACTACCAGCTAACCCTCCTAATCGCTTTTAAAACCATATCATCCGGTCTCAATGCAAATGTAGAGTGGTAGGATTATTTTTATTTAGAAGGTAGGACTTATAACTTAGCTTTGAGACCAAGATGCCTATGCATGTAGGTATGCATATGCTGACTCATAAAGAAAAAGACTTTTATTATCTAATCCTTATGTGGAGGCATTCTACATGTAACATGCTTTGGGCTATGCATGATTCTTTTAAGTTTTGAAAATTTGACTCCTTGAAGGGAGTCATGCAAGACTTTCTTATTTATTAGAAAATCGTGGAGCCTAGTTTCAATTTTAGGTTGCTTACATTTTAATAGGTAGAAATCTTATTTTTGTCCTAAGAGCCTACCGTATCAAGCAGTCCAAGCCACGCCCAAGCAAAAGCAAAGGAAGAAACCTAGGAAAAAGATGCATTTCTATTGCACAAATTAGGTAAACAACCAAACATGCTTTTATTTATATCAAATGCAAGAAAATGTAAAGAGAGTCCACATTATTACAACTAGATTTGGCAGCTTAGTTGTCTGCCATTATACAACCCAGTCAAATTTACAGACTATACTTGTGGGGTTCTTCAGGCTCTTGACTTTTGAATGGACATTAGGCTTCACATTTACAGGTACATCCTTCTAGTCCACTTCATTCTTTTGCTCCAAACCCCCATAAGTTTGATTACACATCATAATTCTATCAAAT